ATTATTTCACACTGAACAACATAACATCATTGACAAACAGTATTTTTAGAAGAAACATTAAGAGAAATAAAAGACATGTTCTTGTCTGTATAAACATAAAAGAGATAGACTAGGGTTCAGATTATAAGGAATATTAATCTCTAATGTGATTTTTAAAAAAGGAATTAACTATTCATTTTTATTTAAGCTGACCCTTGATCATCTAAATACCTTCTATTAGAAGCATTATGCATTGCTTTTACTATTCTGAAATAAAATCTAGAAATAACATAGCCCATCTACTATTGTAATATACTAGTTAACATATAAAGAGAATAAAAGAAAGGAAACAAAAAAAATAATGTGCATATCAATATTTAAAGTGCTCAGAAAAATCTACATGAGAAGACATAATATGGAAGTCAGATACTTGGGCCAGTGTACAGCATCACCACGAATTTGACAGCTACTAAGGCAGGTGTGTTTGTTGGCAACTCAGGTGCAGTGAACAGTGATGCCATGGGTGATGATATTTTCTCATGTGGTAAACCTCTCTTGGTAATATTCTGAACAACATAACATACAAAATCCCTTCAGTACATGATATTTGGATTCCTGGGAAGTTCTGTGTATGTTAAAATCTGCCAAAAATACTTTGAGATTGTTTATTAAACAGATCTAAATTCTGAGCCCATCTAATTATAAATAAGTTTTTCAGCTACATGTACATATAGCTGGTGGAATATTTAAAATGCATGTATGGTGCAGAACAATTCATAGTGCTGTACTGTCCTGCAAACTGCAGGTTGTCCACCACTCCAGGCCTTCTCCCAATAAGTGCTAATGGCTCCTTCCAATCATCTTGACCACCAGAAACATCACTGCAAATTTCCAAAATGCCCCAGAGGGCACTACTGTGCCCATTGAAAACCACTGATTGAAACTGAGCAAAGCACTTTTTCATAATAAAGCACTAAGGTCCTGTACATTTTCTAGTAATACTGATTTGATTTTATGGATTGGGAGACTAAAGATCAAGCCTCCCAATCCAAAGGGTTAAAAAACCATTCCATGAGAACACGGCAGGCATTTAAATATGAGAAAACCCTTTGTTCCCTACATTCCCTACATCTCTGTATTAAGAAAGTGGTGTTTGGTCCAACTGGCATGGCTCAGTGGTTGAGCATTGTCCTATGAACCAGGAGATCACAGTTTAACTCCCAGTCAGGGCACATGACCGGGCTACAGACTCACTTGAACCCTAGTGTGAGGAGTGCAGGAAGCAGCAAGTCAATTATTCTCTCTCATCATTGATGTTTCTATAACATCAGTGATTCCTTTCCTTCTTCTCTGGAATCAATAAAAATATATTTTAAAAAGAAAAGGAGCCGAAACCAGTTTGGCTCAGTGGATAGAGTGTCAGCCTGTGGACTGAAAGGTCCCATGTTCAATTCCTGTCAAGGGCATGTACCTTGGTTGCGGGCACATCCCCAGTAGGGGGTGGGCAGGAGGCAGCTGATCGATGTTTCTCTCTCATCAATGATTCTAACTATCTCTCTCCCTTCCTCTCTGTAAAAAATCAATAAAATATATTTTTAAAAAAGGAAATGGTGGTTGGAAAAGTGGATCGATTCCCAATCCCTAAAAAGAGGAGCTTTTGATCAGGGTAAAGCTGTGGTAGAGGAAACACCAGGCCCTGACTATCAAACTATGTCTGTCTCCTTTAAATAGCATGGTTAATGCTAAATGGACTAGTTTTCCATGTTACTTACACATAGTTGCAGCTTATTAATAAATGGCTGCTTTTTTTATTGCCCTAAACTTTTCTCTTTTTTATCCTTTTATGAATAGATAATTTAATGGCTTAGTGTTGCAATCCTAATGGGATAATTTCCTCTTAAGTGTTGTATGCTTTAAATACTAGAAAGCTGCTCTTGGAAGTTTCCATTCTAGGTAGGGAGATATGGGGGAGATAAGAGGTCAACTGAATGTTCTCTCCTAGGGCCAGCTCCCACAGCTAAGCATAACCAATGGACGAAAAACTCTGGGGAGGGAGGGCATGTATGGGAGGGGGGGGGGGCAATGGTAAGATATGTACACATATAATACCTTAATTAAAAAAATGAAAAAATAAAATAAAATGAAAATGATGACATTTCCTATAAAAAAAAAAAAAGCAAGTTTCCATTCTCTAAGCATTGCCATATAAATTTGTAAATATTTTCATTGAACTTTGGTCCTTAATTTTTTAACTGGTCTTAAAACACGTTCTTGAAATGTGTATATGCAGTTCCAGATGGACACACATTTACCTAACATAGAAATGCTGTTTTTAAATTATTAAAAATCTACTTTCAAAAACTTCAAAAAGAAAGCCATTGTTTCTATAAAATATTCCTTCATTTAGGGAGAATTCTCCCTCCCCCACGCCATTCTCTGTAATTCAGTTTCTAACCCACCTTGCTTATTACTTTTATTCTCCGCAATTTCCCTTCCTCTGACAGAGTACACATTCTCATTATTTATACTCTTAAATTACAAGAGTCAATGTCGAAAGCCAGTGCAGATACTTGGTTATCTCAGGGACTTTGGTCTTTTCAGCCAAGGACTAATCAAGCAGAGAGTAATCATAAGCTAAAACTAAAAAGCCTTTGTAGTGATTTTATCACCAGGGAAATTTGTTCATCCTTCAGAAAGATTGTCACTAGAAAAGAAAAAAATAAATAAAGGAGTTAAAATTGCTTCAGACCATTGACTCCGCAGGTCCCTCTAGATTCATATATTGAATTGGTTTTCAGGGGGTGGGAGGAATTATGAGAAGAGCTCCCTGAGATAGCTTACAAATTGATCCTAGTCTTGGTAACACTAGTAAGTGTAAGTGTGATCACTATGGAGGAAATGCCAAATGAGCCTGGAAGCATGGGAAATGAGAAGGAAAAGAGACAATTAACACCTTTTTTTTTTTTTTTCTTACTGTGTTTGGGGATAGCCATGAAGTATGCATCTGAGAATAGACTTTCAAAAAGAAGAAATACAATTGGTTTTAAAATATTTTATCATCATTATAAGTGCAATTAGTAGTTATTGTTGAATGAAACTAGAGATGCAAGCACTATAGAAATAGGGATAGGTATTTCATAAACCTTCCCAGGAACTAGGCCCCCTTCTAGATATACCCACAAAATATTATTTAAAGTTGATATTTCTGACCATGTGTAGAACTGCTCAGTTGGGTTCAGAAAATACAAATGCCTCCAAATTCAAAATTATAATTATAAATATCTGGATGTTACATATACTTTAAAGAACTTGACATTTTACACACCTATTGATGCAGACAGGCATACTTGTACTTTCTTTCCCCAAGAATTATGTTAAGACTTGTCAAAATCCAGTCAGTCACTTTAGGATTTGCCAGGATATGCCTAACATGAGTAAGCACATAGAAAAATGACTTTTTTTTTTTGTCTGAATACAGTAGTATTGGGAGATATTTCTCAAGGATATGGCTTCAATACTGGATCCTCGTTTCAAATGCTGGCTTATAAGGTGGATCTGCAAAGAAGAGGACAGAGAGCATCCTTGTGAGGGAACCTATAGAGAGAGGGGTTCTCTCCTAGGGCCAGCTCCCACAGCTAAGTCACATGCACAGATTGTAGCTTTCTGCTCTCTGGTCAACCGAAGCCATAGCATCCTTATTGTTGTAACTCTGAGATTGTGATACTGTCACAAAACTGTTGCTAGGCAACAAATGTGGTTACCAGGTCTCAGCAAATAGCTGAAGGGGAAAGCAAAGTGTTGCACCATTGTAGAGTAACCATAGCAATGACCTACTATTACAGACTAAAGAATTATCATTAACAATGTTAAAGTATCAGACAGAGGCCCTGAATCTGGAGACTTCCAGGCAGTATCTCTCTGCATAATTGAGTGATCTAGGAAGAGATTTCAGCTGTCTTAAAGCTACTCATTCATTATTTCTATGGGAGAGTCTTACTATTAATATTATTTTTTTTATTTAAAAATTGTTCAGTTGTGAATCTACTGGTGAAATGATAGGAACTATCACAAGGAGTCAAAAACAGATTAATGACCTCACCTGTTATGTCTACATCTGTTATTGTTTGCTTGTTAAACTATAGGTAGATTTGACTTGAAGACTATTGTACGTTACTATTAAATTGAAGCCACAGAGAGAAGCTGGAATAAAATAAAATAACCCCATAAGTTGACAAGCGTGTGTTTTGTAAGTTGGATTTCTCCTGAAAAAAATAGGAGATCTAGATACTCTCTTACTAGTTATTGCCTTGAAACATTATTTTTCATAGCTTTTCAAAAACTGCCCCCTTTAAAAAAAAAAAAAAGTAGCCTTCTAGGACACTTCTAGGCAAAGGGTCTTTTGCATCTGGTCCTGCATGAAGCATCCCACACAATTTGGTCTAGTGACCTCGCTGAGGCAAGCCTGACAGCACGCTTTGCCGGAGAGGCAGGAAAAATCCGATTTGATTTTTTCTCCTGGAAAGCAGGGAAACCTGGGTGCCCTGGGGTGGGTGCCGAAGCCGGAGTTCACGCCCAGGGGAAACCAATCCCCGCGCGCGGAGCCCGGCGAAGAGGGTGTTTGGAGGCCGGAGAGGGAGTGGCCCTCCCGCCGCGGGCGCCTCCATGGGCCCCGCGGGACCGAGCCCCGGGGCGCCTGGCCGCGCCTCGGGCGGCCCGCGGGGGAGTCCGGGCCGCGCCCCGCGCCGGGGGCACTGCGGGGCCGAGGCCGGAGGCGCAGGAGGTCTGGGATCGCCGCCTCGGGCGCCGCCCGGGGAGGAACGGACTCTGCAGACGCCAGCCCCCCTCCGAGCCCGGGCCGAGCGGACCCGCAGGTAAAGGTGCGGGCTGGAGGGGCCGCGCCGCGGGGCTGGGCCTGGGGAGGGGGGACGGGGGTTCGGGCTGGGCTCCGGGCGGAGGACGCGCAGCCCGCGCCTCGGCTCAGAGCGAGGCCCCTCGTAACCGAGTCTGTGTGTTTTTTGTAGGCACGGACCGTCACGAGCTCACTTCCTGGAAGAGCCTCCCGTCCATTTTCAAATTCTTCGCCGAAGCCTCGGAGGCCAGGAGCAGCTCCCAGAAGCCGGCGCTGGCGCGGCGCTCGCACCGCATCAAGCACGAGGAGCTGTGAGCGCGGCGGCGGGCGGACTCCCGGCCCCTCATTAGATGGTTTTCTTCCCAGAGCACGGGGTCGCGATATATGCATCTAAATAGCGTTTTGCATTATTTCTAGATGAGTGCAACTGTCAAAGCAATATGGGTTCACCGGCCGCGCTTCCTGCGGGCCGCGCCGGGCTCCGCGCCGCCGTCCGCGCGCAGATTGCGGCTGACAGCGCCCGCCCCGCGCCGCTAATTGCCGGCCCGGCCGCGGCCGCGGGCGCCGGCGTCTGCGCGGTCCTCCCACCCGCTGCTGCGCAGCCGCCGCTCCCTCCCCGCCCCGGCCAGCCCCCCTTAATCACGTTTATTATTTTTTTTTTCCTCTCTCCTAGCAAAAGCAAACTTTTATTCTACACTTCAAACTTCCCTTTTCAGTAGGTTTTTCACTGAGGGCGTCTTATGCCTCCCCTCCCCCCCCCTCACACCCAGAAAAGCCAAATTTAAATTCAGAGCATGAATGCCATGATGTACTGTATGTAGTTTGGGGGAGCGCAAATTGTCCTCTCCCTAACGATCTATTTTCATTTCCAGACCAGAAGAAACACTTTGCATTAAAAAAAAAATCTATGAAATTCTGAATGCACATTACCGCTGAAAATCTTTGCCAGTTGAATATGACTTTTTTTACACAAGTCTCTAATTTCACAAGAGATCATTTAAACCAAAACATAAGGAGGAACAAGTCTTTTAAGTGTATCTGTGAAGGCCCCCTTTTCAATGGGATTTCCAACTTTGTCATTAGAATTGACTTTACTTTTTAAAAATGTATATATATTGAGTGGCATTGTAATTTAGATAGCATACTTAAGTTTTGCTTTTTTTAAATCTTAATGCGGATAAAGTTTGTTTTTGTTGTTAATCCTAACTAGTATGATCTATTCTGATCTTTCATGGAGTTAGACCCTTTTAGGGACAGAATTTTTACCGTAGTCAGGAAAATGTACCTGTGCATTCTTGAGCCTTTCCTTCTGGAAGGCTAAGTGGGCTAAAATGACTCTTAGTTTTCTGCTCCAAGAGAAAGGGAAAGACCTGATGTGAAAGAGTTTCTCCTCTCAACCCAGTGATACAACTTTTAGCAGTCCACTTCCTCTGAAGGGTTTTGCCCTACAGTTTCAACTATTAACTATTTTAATCCAGCTAAGATCTGGCCAACACTGTGAAATATAAGAGGTAAAATAATATTTTGCTGACTTTTACATTCAAATATTAAATCTTAACACTATCATTTTAATTACATGAAGAATTTAATTACCCAGTGAGGAACTGTTTCTAATAGATGAAGATCTGAATTTAATCTTCATTTGTTTGTGAAGTATATGCAACAATATGACTGCCTTACATGAGGACATGATAAAATGTACCCAAATACTTACAATTGTCCGCCTCCTCAGAAAAAAAAAACAATTTAAAATAACCACCTCATGAATAAAATTATTTTATATTATGAACTGATTTCAGCAACATTTTAAAATTGATAACATCTTTTTTTGGTATACAAGTATAATTATTAGTTCCTATAGTTTTAAGAATGGCAAATTAAAGTGATATTTTTCAGTGATCATATATGCATATATTTTGCATGTTAGTTTAGCAGAAACAAATAGGAAAAATCAAAACATCATATTATCCAGCTTCTGGATAACTTAAAATGTGTAACCCCAACAATGGCAAGCCCTTTGGTCTGCAGTCTTTTCTAGGTCAGAAGTAATGGTGAACTGTATGAAAGAGTGGTAATTCCCATTGAGAGGATTTGAGAATTGATGTAGATTGAATCTATTTTTCAAAGTGTTATAAATTGTGTTTTCAAAACATGAAAATATTCATGGGAAACTAATTCTGTTGTCTTTTTTTTTTAAATCAGCACTTATGCAATGCTAAATTTGTGATGCTTCTGCAGCTGAATTAGAGCAAAGTAAATATGCTCAGCTTATAAAACAAATCATTCCTGTTTCTTAGATTTTCTCACCTCTCTTCTTAAAACCGTTACTTTTAACTAGAGTAAATCACTGTTAAATTGCCTTTAATAGTTTAAAACTACTGGGTTGTTAGGCCTTATTTAACTATCCATAGAGCTGTTTGCAATCTTAAGCTGTGTAAATGTAGTTTCTACCTGTGAATCTGAGCTGTGGCCACCAGAAGAGAGCTAAGCAAACTATCCCAGACCTCCAACTGAGAACTGAGAAGGTTCTTTGCGATGTAGGCTTTTTTAACCTGTTGACTGTGGGTCTGTTGGTGTAAATGTAACAATACCTTCACCTCCATTTTCCTGGAGTAAAGATGATCAGTTGGTAGCAGTTCTTCTGCTTGGAGGTGACAAGTGTTAATATTTCTGTTCTGATCTCCCCAGTTTGGTTTCTTTAGACAGGGTTTGTTTTGGAGAGGTTTAAGTTAAAATGTGGATTTTCTTTTTAATTATATACTCGGTTCTTAGAGCAAGTGGAATGGGGAGCAGAGTTGTTGATAAATCTGAGATTCAAAATCATCCTGTTAAAACTTAAAAAGCTAGATATTGCAATGCTTTGGAGCTTTCTAAAGGTACCTAACCAGGCAGCCATTAAAAGTTTTTATGATATTTGAAGGGGGCAGGGGGAGTCTACTTGTAATAATTGTTCTTTTATCAAGTTTCCACCTTGTGCTTCAACCTGGATTACATTATTGTGTATACCGAAAGTAAAGCACAGGAGTTTCCTATATATTATATATTTCTGTTTGTTTGCCATTTTAAAATAAAAACAATTTTCCCAATAAGCAGTGGTGTTATTCTTGTTCAAAAGTTCATTTATTCATGTACAGATGTTAATAAAAGCAGAAACTTGCATGATGGGATACCATTCATCAATATTTTAATCCTTATAGCTGCTTAGTATTACTATTATTGTTGCTGCAATGTAATTTCCTAACTCTGGTTGAGTCACTATTTGGCTTGGACCTTTCACAAAGCTACCATTTTTTAATACATTTGTTTTTCAGTATCTAAAATATCTCCTTAGCTACAAGGAAATTTGAACCCATTTGTTAAACTATCATTTTATAAAATACACCTCAGTATACAGTAAACAACTATGTTTTCCAAAAGGAGTCTGGCGAGATTAAATTGTTTCCAAATCCCAATATAAATCCCTGAAAATACCTTATTTATATTTATTTTACAGCTTTTCCTTTTTCAAAACCTATAACTCCTTTGAGAAAGTTGGGTGACAAAATATGTTAACTGTATTATCAGTGCTAATAAATTAGTAGGGTTTTTTTTTTTTTCATGTTTCTTGGATTATCTGAGTTTCAATCCAAACATGTGTGCCTCCTCAGCATAATCATTGTCTGTAACTGTAAATTGGCAGGTTCATTCTGGTGTCTGTAATCCTGATTCATTAAGAAATACTATTTTACAGAAAGTCTAAAATTTTCTCCAAAACTTTCCCTATGCCGCTGTAGAGAAAAAAAAAAAAGTCTTTAAATGTGAGATATTCTCATCTTTGAAATATGGGTGGCCAGAAAAGGGAGGGATAATGGTGGTGGTTATTTTATGATTACTTATCAGGGGCTGTAATAATATAAAATAAAAGACTCCAGGAGGTACTCCCTTTCAAAAATTGAATACTTACCTTCCTTCCTTGTATGGAGTGACCGAGTGGGAGTCTCTTGAATTGTTCGTCTTCCTTTTATCTAATATTCTATTAATCTCCAAAAAGATCAGTTTGAGTCTGGGAAAGGGTTTTTAATCAACACTTCACAGAGCTTAAAGCTACCCTACCTAAAGTGTCAGCTTTGTTAGACGGTTTTAGATTTAAAGCATTGCAACTGTCATGCACTGTACTAAAAGTAAAGAATGTACACCAAGTGGAAGATGTTGAAAAGAGGGAAATAGCACAAAGTCGATTAAGGGAGATTCAAGAATAGAAGTAACCATCAAAGCATTCCAGCACTTATCTCGAAATCTATGTAGGGTTATAAAAAAGAAAAGCAACAATGATAGTTTTAAACCTCACACTTAGGAGGGATGAATGTTGATTTAATTGATTCATTTGGATCGATGTTTTTAAAGTTTCACATCACTGATCTTTCATGTAGTGATGTCTTTAGCAGTCAGTGGTCTGACATGAGCCTTCTCAGATTTCATCAGTGGGACTCTCCATGACATCTGAAATTATGCAACAGCCTATACGATGGTAACTTTGGAATTGGGAGACCTCAATGCCAAAGAGCATGGTTAGATTGAAGAACTCCTCTTGTTAATTCTTAGCACAAAGGTTTTAGAGGAGTAGTAATTGTAAATGAGCCATAAAGGTTAAAGACACCAAATATTATATAGTGGGCTTTAATTGCTAGGTAGGAGAAAATCATCCTCAAAGATTGACCATTAAGTGGATATCATGTAGTGACCAGAATTTCCCCCTCGAATAGAAAAAAATCCTGAAAATGGAAATTTGACTTAATTCATGAGGCCTTCTAGGAAACTTTTCCCATCCCTTTGCCTTGAGATTTGTCAAAAACCTTTCACTATATTTTTTGTATTGTTGGAGTTGAGTTCTATTTAAAACAGACAGGAAACATGTTTCCAGGGGGGAAAATCAAGGGAAGCCCTTGCATCTTTCTTTCTTGGCTATTACATCTGGTAATATGAGACACTGTCATAGGTAAAATAATGTTAAACTGTACTTTGCAGCCAAACTGCAGTACCAATACAAAGAATCTGAAATGAAAAGACAACCAGCACCCTAAGAATGATATGTCTCTTTTAAAGTTTACAATTTGAATAATGAACTTGGATAGAAACTTGGCAGGAAAACAAATCATGGCACCATCACATCACCAACCATTTTCACTTTTCTGTCCAATTTCAGAGTGCATGTGTTTGTGAGTATTTCACTAGATCAGTGACAGCTCTTTATTTGCATAATTATATGCTCTGGTCTGAAGAGAAAACTAACCCCCAAATTTCATGGGTCACCAAACTGCAACAATCAATGTTTTATCACGTATGCTAAGCAAAATCTAAGAAGCTATATGAAGTTTCTTGGGGAGTTTTTACTCCTCAGAAAATTAAAGAGTTTTCCTCTCCTGAATAGATTCAAAATCTTTCCAAGTTCTTTGTAACTGAATTCTGTTTGAAGGCAAAACTAGAGATTAACATGTAGATCTGGATCTTAGACTCTCTAGCATTACTTCAAAGTGACTTAAGAAGAGCAGCATTTTGGGAACACTAAACTTTTAAATTCTAAGTACTGTCCTTCAAAATTATTGGTCAAAATATGGTTAGCCAAATGAAGTCTGAATTAACTACAATTGAATATAAAGTTCATTTCTTTCTTTGAAATAACTCAGGGTTACTTTAAAGACCTATTAGAAAAATATGTATATATGCCACATACATATACATATTCAGACATGAAATGCATATGCCATTTCACCAGAAGTAGACAATATGTATATAGTAAGTCTTTTCAGTGCCTGTAACATAGCAGGTACTCAATGTATGTTGGTCATCAGGATTGTTTGTAAATTTATTTTCTTTTGAATACATTTTTCATGTTCAAATTCTGCAAGGGATTGAAATAAAAAAAATTTAATGCCTCAAGTTCATTTGTATCTGTAGATTCCCTTTGTCTCTAATGTATGTTTGTGTATAAAGTGGCTTTATATCATTAAAGAAGGGTTTATTTAAATTGTTGGTGTCTTTAGTTTGTAGGCAACCTGCCAGACTTGAACTACAATGGAGCATAGAGACACATGCAGAGAGTGATTGTTTGTTATGAAGTGATTAAAATCCTGGAAAATGCAGCTTTACCTAGGCTCTTCAGGAATACACTAGGTGCATGATTTAATTCTACTACACAGGGACTTAGATATGAGTTTCATTTAAGAGCATATAATAAAAAAATGCCTTTTATTTGAAGTGATTGGTTGTATAATAACAGTTTATCAGGCATTATACTCTCATCAAGGAAAATGTTAGGAAAAAGAAACATTGAGGGGAAAAGTTTAAGAATTGCATAGTTTTGAAATATTTTATTCTCTACCTTGAAGAAGGATGAGAGGTCTTTAGGTCAAGTGCCAGAAGTTTCCTATAATATTTCAAGTGAAAAAAAATCAATTTCTCCCAAGTTTTTAATTAAAGTTGAGTTACAAATAAAATGCTTTTTTTTTCTTTTAGTCTAAAAGTTTAAAGATCTGCTTATAAGTAAGACCACCCACAGCCACCACGTCTCACCTTACTGAAATGTTCACCTAGTTATACTCCCTCTCGGGCCACCCCCATCTTCTACCTCCCCAGAAATCGCTATTTGTACTGAAGATCTTGGATTCTTCTTGGTGAAAATTCCTCCAAATTGAGTCTGTAAAAACAAATACATACAAGGTTAGCATTTTTATCAAAATGAGTTGGTAAGCGAATGAATTATGCTACTGTCTGACTAAGAAATAAAGACAAAGATAAAAAGTAAAACCCTCCTAGATGACTGTTTATAGGTTGAGGACCTATGTACCTCTGAGTTAGATGAATTTGCATTCTATTATTTAAGGTATACATTCTTGAAAGTAATATGCAACATGTATACCTAATTACTTCTTTTTTTCTTCTTTATTTGACCTTTGTGGGAACCTGGCTGTGAGTTTTACGGAAGGCTTCCAGTTTTATACTCTGCCTGGGACATAGCGAAATCTGTTATTTCCCACTGAATTCCACACATGAAGGGATTGACCCTAGAGCTGAAAGGCCTAGGTTTTCTCTTTTTATCATTTTTCATTTCTTTTGGCTCAAGTGCCACCTAAACCCCATTGTGTCTGAGAAAACTATCTCTGATCTAGTTCATCTTCATGTACCTCCAAATATTTTTTCAAAGGTTTATGTTTT